CAGAACCACCCTTTTACCTATTTTTTGGGGGCCCCCCGTGTTTTTGTTGAGGACCTTCCGCTCGCGACCCTTCCCCCGCGGTCCGGGAGGCCCGGGCCCGAAGGCGAGGAGAAGTTGGAAAAAGACGGAGCGGGTCAAACCGCTCAGGCTCAGGAGGAGCAGAGCAGCAGAGCCCCGCTGAACTTCGCTTCTGCAACCTTCGCCCCTAAGAGGAGCTCGAGGCAGAGGAGGGGGCTTTCTCAAAGGACTGCGTGGCTGGGCATTGCATTGTGCTGCTCAGCCGTATTCGCTAGGTTTTATCTCAGCTAAGGAGTTTCGACTTTACTTGCTCACCGCAGACAAAGAGATGGAGCTGCCAGCAAGAGTCCAAATCAAGATAGCAACGATCAACTTCACTGCTGACCAGAGTGCATTGGACGATTTCTTTTTGGTGCGTCTTGCTCAGCAGCCGCAAGGGGAGGCCGGACAGTCGGACAGTGGCTGCTGGTGCTCACAGCTGTGCCGGAGTCGTCGCAGGCTACGGAGCTCCTCAGTTTCGTCCAGAACCAGCGCGAGTTCTTACTGCTGGAGGATCAGCTGCTCTCCCAGCGCCTCGAAAGCAGAGAAGCAGACGTAATTATGCATCGACTCAGTACAGAGACAGACGTAGACAGACAGGGCCCTCGAGCTCCTCTCAGAGCATCTGCGCTGCTGAGGCTTACTGAAAGGGAGGGCGGTGGCGGCGGCGGTGGCGAGTTGTTCGAAGAGGAGGATTCGGCCTTGGCAGCGGTGGCCACGAGCTTCGGCCGAGTCCAGGAACTGCGCGAGGCCCTGGGCGAGGCGAGGCCCAGCATGTGGCCGCATACGTGGGGCGGGGGTGCACCCCCGGCCCGTGCTTTAGAAAGCATTCGAAGGAAAAGGCGCAGGCAGCCTCTGGGCCAACCTGCCCCTGTGAGGCGGTGCAGAATTTGAAGGCCCAGCTGGAGAAGACCCGGAGCATCTACAGCGACCTGGCGGAGCGCTGCTCGCGGCTCTTCCAATCCCTGGACGGCCTCGCGACAAGCCTGGGTGGCAGTGGACCCGGGATAGTCTTAGCGCTCTTGGCGCATGTGCCTTGTGAAATTTGAGCACCCCTTCCTCATTGGCCTGGGTTGTAAGAGGCACACCCTTCCTTTGCTCCTTGGTGGACATCGGCGAGTCCGCCAGTGCCGCTCTGCTCCAGATCTGGTCGCCACAGAGCTGCAACTCTCTGCCGTTGCCATACTGCCAGGCTGCTTGCCAAGCGCTGCTGAAGCAGCAGTCCCTGGTGGCCTTTGGCCAGGACCGACCGTAATACAGTGCGAGCTGGGGGGCGCGCGCGCGATCTTGAGTCTGGTTGTTTTTCCGATCAGGACACGCTTCTCAGTACCGCGGCCTCCATGATGGTTCTGACCAGCAGTTCCCTGTGGGCTGTGGCCTCTCGCGTCTTGCGGCGCTTTGCTTGGAGCTTCTTCCGACATCAGCTGCCTCTGCTGCTCATCCACACGGCCCTCCTGCTGGAGCCACAGGCGCGTGGGCCGTGGGCGGCGCGCGTGGAGGCCGGCTCTATCCCTCAGCAGCAGCACTTGCGAAGAGGAGCCAGCGCTGCTGGACTTCCTGCTGGGCGGGGACCGTGCCGTGGCGGAGAGGACTCCGAACGCACCGCCCCCGAGCTCGAGCCCCGACCTTGGCCTTTGGCCAAGAACCGCCGCGAGCCGAGCTCTTCCGAGCTCTCTCTGCGAGCGTCTGCACGCGCTTTTGTTGCGCGTTTCTGAGCTCAGCTCTGCGCTTCTCAGTCTTCTGCGAGGCCTGGAGGAGGATCTGTGCTTTGGCCGAGCTCCAGCCCACGTTCCGAGACCTGCCCAGACACATCCAGGAGAATCTCGACTCTTGGAGGAAAGCCACTTGGCTGGCTCTTGACTCCTTGTACCCGCAAGCTGGGCCGAAAGACTCCAAAGACAGCCGACAGCCGACCATAAAGTGTGAGTCTTTGCTGCAACGAGCTGCGGGTTGACTGCCTTCTCAACGAACTGAGGCTCTGGACACGCCTTCCGAGCTCTCCACGGCCTCCAGCTCCTACTATCCCGCCCCATTCAACGAGCCCGAACCCTGGCCCGCGAATCTCGCGAATCTCACCCGATCAAAGCCCTGAATGCGGAGGCTCTCCGACGGCTTCTCGAGGGTTCTGCTGGTCTCCACCCTGCAGCCGGCCCGGAACCCCAGAGAGCTCTGAAGAGCGGCGAGGCGGTGCGGTCTGGCGCCGCGCCGCGCCCGTGTGCTGTGCTCTCTTTTCTGAGGCTTTGGCGTCTCGGGAGCTGCTGCTCTACGCCTTGCAGGTCCTCCGCGGCGGCGACGGCGACGACGAAGGCATGGCCGTGGAGGCCCCCGCGGCCCGCGGGGCTCCGCGGGGCCCCGCGACATTTCCGCCGCGACGATGGCGGGGCGTTCTCAGCGTTCTCGTCTCCTGACTGGAGGTGAGCGAGCCGGTGCCCTTGGAGGAGGCGCTGAACTCGGCGCTGATCCTCTCGGACCGGAAGGGTGCGAGTGGCAACGAGCCCAAAGAAGAAGGGAGGCGGAACTCCGCTAAGGCCTCAGAGCAGAGCCGTGAAGCCGCGAAGCCTGACTGCCTGACTCAGACCCCCACTTGCAAAGCCTCCGAGGAAGCACCCGCTCCGCGAAAGAAGTCGGTGATGCTGGCCGTGTCTCGACAAGCAGAGCCTCCGGCCACGGCGTCGTCTGGGCGTCTGCAATGCGTCTGCCTGTGAGGCTGCTGATGAAGTGCCCGAGCCTCTCGCTTCGGGGGGCCGTGGGAAGGTTTCAGGAACCTCGCACCAGCGGGGTCGCTCTGTGAGTATCGTGTGAGTGAGTGAGTGAGTGAGTGAGTGTGAGCCTGCACCTCCTGTCGGCAGTCTATGCAAAAGCAAGGTCGGAGGAACGCAGCGCGGCACTTCAGAGCTCGGCCTCGCGCAAGATGTCTTTCCGGAAGAAGCCCCCAGCCACTCTGGTCGCACTGCGGTCGCACCTCTCGCGGCAGGGATTCAGCTTTCTCGGCTTACCGCCCCACTCTGAGGATGTACCGGAGACATCAGCTGCTTGGAAACCACTTAAAACTTGAATCGCAGACTGGTCGAATGCCATGCCGGCCATGCCTTCGGCCTCTGACGGCGCTTAAGGCTTCGAAAAGCCCGCGCAAGAAATCGATGGCTCCTTGGCAGCCTTGGCACTCTGAAGCGCTGCTTTGGCTGCTGTTGCTGCTTCCGCTATACCCTCTTTTGCGAGGTGGATGGGCCACTGGAGTCTTCTGTGCCTTGACGGCAGCTGTGAAGCGCCACAGGCCGCCTTGCTGTTTGTCTTTCTGAGGCCTCCATCTCCTCTCGGGTCTCGAAAAGTTCTGGCGCTGTCGCTCGGCTCATGCTGCGAGACACTGTGGGGCACCGTCACTGTGGCAGCCCCGACACGCCGGCCAGGGCCTGGAGAGGAAGAAGTCCATGGCACCTTGGAGAGAGCGGTTGAACACTTGCAAGAACAGACAGATCGCAGCTTAGCCGAGGCAGATCAGGACTCCGGAAGCCCACGAAGCCCGAGCATGGGGAAGAAGATGGAGAGGAATCGCTCGATGGCGGCTTCGCCCAAGACAGCTCTGCGGCCAAAGGTCTAGGAGTCTAGCGAGTCTAGCGTGTCAGGTGGATCGGTCCGGCACGAATACCTTGTCACGCACCGGATCTATGGATGCCTGCCAGAGATGGGCTTCCCATTCGTCTTCCGGCCCCGGCCCCGGCCCCGGCCTCGCCTCAGGAATCCCTCGCACTCGAGTCGGATGCTGGCACGGTGGCGGGCGAGAGTGCCGCTCGGAGAATAGCAAACTGACGCGTGCAAGAGCACGTGCGCGAGCCTCCTCGGGCTCGCAGCGAGGACTTCGGAGTCAGTGCTCGCAGAAGACGAAGAGAGGCGAGACCAAAGAAAGGGGTGCCTGGAGCTCAGTCGCGCTGGGAGGGTCCCATGAAGGGGCCGCGGCTGCTTGTTGTGGAGGACGCGGCCATTGCTGCTGGTGACGGCTTTGGACGTGGAGCCGGGACGCGTCCTCTCACAGCTCGCGGCCGCCCAGCCGCTGGAGCAGTTCATCGGCGCGAAGCAGCAGGAGACCGCGAGAGCGAGAGTGTTCCGCCTGCTTTCCGCTTTCCGCTTTCCGGCTGCTTCAGGAGCTGAAGGTGATCAACTGTGGGAGATGGCAAGCGCAGAGTGGGACCTTGCTGCAGAGCATCCAAGACGCTTACAAGCGCGGCAGGCTCCCGCAGCTCCCCCCGGCACAGCTTGGCCTTTTGCTTGGCCTGCCTTCGCTGCAGGTGGTTGCTCATCGAGCACATCCACCTGGTGCCGTCTTGGCTGCCCCAATTGGATGCTCTCTTGGCAACGATTCTGGAGGCACCGCAAGCCCGCTTAGCAGAAGCAAGGTCGACGGCCACGGCACAGCCTGAAACTGGAAAGTCTCTTTCTGCCCTGCGTCAGGATGGACCGGACTTCTTTGACCGCTCGCAGGGATCGGCATTGCCTGGCTTCCGGCTTTTCCTGTCAGTGCCGTCCGAGACCACGGTCTCGCACGCGATTCCAGCCGCCTTGGTCCTCAAGTGCGCGTTGCCCTCAGATTTGAAAAGGGGCACCCACCAAAAAAAAGAGCCCGCTCTGATTCGGCACCAGTTGGTCTCTTGGTCTCCTGGTCGCTTTGTGTTCGTTCTTCGTCCGAGGTGCGGGTGGCCTGGGAGCTGCCGCGTGGATCCAAGGCTCTTCTACAGCGTGCAGGACTGCGCCGCTTTTCAACGCGCAGCCGCGTCTGCCGCGGTCCGCCTCCGTTGTTCCGAAGAGGCGCCGTCAGCAAAGCAAAGGAAACGAAAGGAGCTAAGGACAAGCGGAGAAGTGGAGAGGAGAGAGGAGAGCCGCACTGCGTTCAGCGTGAGGAACATCGACTCTGGGAGAGCTGTGCTGGCATTGACCAGGCGCCGCAGCTACCAGTAGCTGCCGAGCTCCGAGATCTTAAAGTCTCAATGACCTGCAGGGTCGCTTGCTGCTGGTCTCTTTGGCTCGCTTCCAGGCCTGACGGGGAGCGGGAGCCTTTCTCTAACCTCTGCTGCCTTACAGCCTTGCCTTAGCCTTTCAGTGTCGGTGTGTCTTCCCCGCAGCGGCTCCGTCCGCTGCTGCGCCCCGCGTGCGGGTCCCTCGCAGGCCCTGCTCCAAGAACACCGCTCTTGCGATCAGGAGCGTTTGTGCGCACATGCACTGACCACTCGTTGTCGTTTGTCCACGTGGTGCTTTTCGCTGCGACGCTTCGACGCTGCGACGCATCGCGGCATTGCGGCATCGTGGATGCGACGACACTTCCCGAAGCCTTATGGCCTGACTGACAGTTCGCTAGGAGAGGGCCTTCCACGTGGCTTTGCAGCTCTTCGAAGACCTCTGCGCGGCGCACGCGAGGCCGAGGCGAGGGGCCGCCGGGCCGGGAAGCGCGCGCGCTCGCGCTTCTCTCGGCGCAGGTCGGAGAAGTCGGAGAAGCCTCTGGAGGCGAGGGAGGCGCAAGGGCAAGGGCCCCGCGGCCCCGCGGCCCCGCCACAAGCTGACTCTTCATATGGGGGCTTCTTATAAGCTTTAGCGCTATAACACCCCCCAGCCCCACGGACCGAATTCGGATTCCACGGCCGACCATGTGGATTCAGAGACACCACAATCAGTCCTTCAGTGCTTCGAAGATCCTTGTATTGGCATTCAGGAGACGGCCAAAACGGGCGGATTCGCAGACATGACCCAAATCCTTCGCGCACATGCTGTACTGATACTGGTGGGATTCAGACATGTTGAGGCTAAAATAACCGGCTAGGAAAAGACTGGTCCCAGAAACTTCAACGGGTGCTTCGCGGGTTCCTTGGTGATTGCAATCCAGAACCAGTGGATGGGCTTTGTATCAAACACGCCTGTTTACTTGTCCCTTGCCTGCTGACCTGCTTCGCTATGCAATCCAACCACCGCGCGTGGCTCAAGATAATGGTGAGATATGGTGAGGCAAGTCAGCAGGAAGACGAGAGAAACGCCGTAGCAGTTTCAGTTTGTCATTCTGTGTGTGCGTGTGTGTTTGTATGCCCTTCTTTCTTGACACCTTAGAAGCAAAGATGCGTGTAGACGAACCAGAAGGCACTCCGAGTAACATAGTGCAGCATCATCACTTTACGGAAAAGGGTGTGTTCTTTGTTTTTCAGACATGTCGTTTCATAGCATCATATGAGGATGGTGTCGTCAGTCAATAGAGCCCACAGTGATGCCAGTTTGTGACTCTTGATGCTTCCCGGCTTTGTTTCGGTTTCTAGGTCATGCCGAGCTGACTGTGATTTGACGTCACTCGATGACCTCAGTCCTGACTGCGTCCTGCCGCCAAGCCGCCCCACAAACTGTGTTTTCTTCTCTGCTCCGCAGGGCTCGGATCGCTTGTGGGCGGAGCTCTGCTACCACGTGACACAGGTGCAGGTGAATAAAGGATTTTTGTTCACAGAATTGCGTGTCTTCCTTTCCTTTCTGAAGGTGTTCTATGGCTTTGTGAGTGAGGCCGGCGTGACCGGGTCGGCCGTGGCAGGGCATGCCGGGTGCTGCCAGATCTCTCGGCGATGTTTGGTCGCCCTCTTCCACGCCCTCCGCGAGCAGACGCCGCCCTCCCAAGAAGGGCCGACGCTGCGCGCGCGCCCTCGCGCCCTCGCGCCCTCTCTCCCTGCTGGTCGCGGAGGCCGATGTCCAGGAGCGCCCTTGGTGCGGCGGGGCTCAGAGCTTTGCGCCCTTTGCACCCAGTCCTGAGAGTTCCTGGGCAGGTGCACATGGATTTTCAAAAGCAAAGCTTCGAGTCGGCCTTGGAGTTCCTCGGAAGCGAGCCCCCAAAAGGGAGTGCTCAAATTTGTGTTTCGGAGTTTAGGGCCCTTAGGGCTCCTGCGCGAGAGGTCAGAACGAGCTCGGCTCACCGAGCCTTCAACAGGCCGTCGACCCACGCCGCGACAGCCGTTGGCGCAAGCGCGGCAAGCGCGAGGCGGAGACGGAGTCGCTGTTGGCGGTCCTGAACTCGGAAGAGCTCCTCGGCTCGGCGAGCAGCTCAGAGACGAGCGGAGGGGGGGGGCGGGGGGCGCTTTCTCGCGCCGTGTGCGCGCATGAGGTGTGGCCACGCCACGCTTGCTACGCCTATACGCTGAGGCGCGGGGAGGAGGCGACGCAAGCCGCAACGGCCCGAGAGCGGGGCCGGGCGGGCCGGGCACTTCGGGCCTGGCTTTGGCCCTCCATCTCCTCGAGGACTGAACATATGCCTAACATATGTGAACATGCTCCGACAGCCGGCCACGAAGGGATGAGTTTTTGGGCGAAGTTGTGTTGATTATGCACATGTAAACTATTGTCCCCTTGTGCACTGTACTTTGTACATGGATGTCGTCGCCACTTAGTGCTCTGACTAGGAAAAGGAAGTCCGTTGCGCAATGGCATAAGTCCTGGTCAACACTTAACGGTACAGCGGACATCAGTGCTTGTGACGACCGGTTTTACCCAACTATAGGTTATCAGCCGTACAGCCTACGGCCTTGCATTACAACCACGTATTTGGCATCAGTGCATGATCATGAGCTCACCTGAACTGGTACCTGACAGATTTCCGGAATCACCAAGTGAACTCCACAATGGAGGAAAGCAATGCACAGATGCAGTTCCAGGCTATAGCTTTGGCCGTTCAGATGAAAGAATTGAGTCAGGGAGTTGAGTCTGCTTCCGGGCTTGGGCAGTTGTCGAAGCCCTTGCATGCTCCATATTCGAATCGCTTCTGGCGATGTGCTGCTTTGGGCCTCGAGCCCAAACGTTCCTCACCAACCTCCGATGCAGTTCCCAGCAATGGGTAGCCGTGCAGGGGCAGACAGGGGTACTAACGTTCGACCGGCAATGGTCTCCCCCCCAGTGGTTCTGGCCTTATAGCCAAGCCTTATAGCCAAGGTGCTCAGCAAGTGTTCGCACAGTACAATGTATATGCACCACAAACCCTGGAGCTTCACATGTACCAGGTAAGGGTTGGGGTACAAGAACTGGAAATGAGGGCCGCAGTAGTGCACAGGCGTTCTTTGGAAACTATTGAACAAGCAGCCCAGTCAAGCCTGGCTGATCTGGAGCAAACGGCACAACTTCGGCACCTTGAAAAGGTTGCCGAGCTGGAAGGACAAATCAGCAAGCGTTGCTTAATGAGATATGGCCAAGGAGGTTTGCTGAAAATGATGGTAACCTGGGAAAGCTCGAAGAAGCCCAACAGTCACGAATTGTAGATGCACTAGATGTCCAGCTCCAAGAGCAAAGGTATGCGCAGAACTTGCCAGAGCAGGCTTCGCAAGTTATTCTGACTTCGAAAATTGAAATGGTTCAACAGTTCATAGCAAACCTTGAGTTGTACAAAGAAAGGCAGAATGCAGAGCATAGGTCAGTGGTCTTCGGACGCCAAGAACATTTGGGTGCAATGAATGTTTCACCGGCTTTTGCTTACAATCACGTTGCCAGGATTCCGGAGCTTGACCGGGAGCAGTTTTTTTATTGGAGATCGATGGGCGTTCCAGCGACAGACATGTGGTCTTTTAACTTGCTCGATTTTGCTGCGCTTGATGAACCTGTAAATGCAGCAGAATACACTGCAAAGCGGTTCAGCAAGGTGTACATTGCAATTTGTCATGAACCAGTGGAAGAGCTCTGCACAATGATAGAGTTGGTGCCAGAGTGGTTGCAAGCGGAAGTGTCTTCTGCGGACTGGGATGAGGATGTGCACATGGCTGTGCTCGTGCCTGAGCCTCTTGCAGCACTTTGTCGGAGCAAAGCGTTTGATTATGTGCTGTTGCCTTCGCCGCATGCTGATGGATGGTGGCGTGCGCCTGGATGGTTTCGTAGGCGGTTGAACCCTGCAGCATATACCTGTTTACATGTATATACAAGATAGCACAGTATAGCGCACCCAAGAGTGCATCGAATCTGTAAGTCTCCAAGCTCTATCCCAGTTTGCGCCAGGTGACTCTCCTGAGTTGTGGGCGTTCGTTGCCACGGCATCAGCCGCAAGCATGCAAGGAACCCTGGCTCAAGCTTTGACCCAATCCTTAATTAGACCTGTCTTGAAGTTCCCAAGTCCGGACTTGAAGCCCCC